GGAGTTAAACCACAACACCATGCTAGCTGGTTTGCAGGCTGAGCCCTGTAACATTAGCACTCCGTTATCATTGCTGTCACCAGCTTTGGTGAAGTTGTGAATCGAGCTCTTACTAATAAACATTAATTTAGAGCCTTCAGCATGCTCATTGTTTTACTTGTTTACTATTGATTATAGTTTGTGATCAGTAGAGTTGGAACTAGAATCAGTGATGCTGACTCACCACATTTTTTGCATTTGGTTTCATGGATATAGTCCCATAGATTTCTTCTCCTCGTCTCACAGTTAAATAGTCCTCTAAGTAGAAGACAGTTTGCTTCCAGTGAGTATAGGGTGCATCAGGTGCTAAAAAACATATATGGGTATTATTTATAGAAAACTCCTCTTTGCTTTACTAATCAAATTATGACTTGGGAACAACTGAAAAAAAGCTTTTCTTCTCATAGAACACTTTACCTTGTGTACTGTATTAGCAAACATGCTTTACAACAACACAGTTCTGTAGACTGTTAGTGGGTTGTCCTCTAATTTTTACTGGAATATGTCAGATGTCAACCACACCCAGCAAGAAGGATTCCGCAAAGGGGGTTACTGGGCATGACAGGCACTTTTTTGATGATTTCTTTTCAACACGCACACATTCGAATTGGGGAAATGTTTACCAGCTTTGAAAGTCTAAATTAGTTCAAAAAACAATTACACAAAACCATGAAAGAAAGATTCATCAAAAAATGTTAATCACAATGACACAGATGAAACATTTGACTCATGATCCTGGAGCAGATTTTAGAGTTTCCAGGGGGATACAGCTGGGGAAAAGGCACTTGCACCTTTACCTATTTTTGGACTTTTGAAAGGCATTTGCTATGGTCAACTTGCCAGAGATGAGACACTGGTCTAAATTAATTTCTAGCCTTGCTTAGCAGAATCACTTTGATAACCTTCTGCTACTTCAGGTTTTTATTTTACTTAGTTGTTTTTATTTCTGATTTAAATTCAAATATTTAAGCAGTGTGTAATGAACTTGCATTGGTTACTCCTTGTTCCTAGCATTCTTGCAGTTAATCGCATCTAGGTATGTAAGAATAGCTGTACAAGTTCAGAGGCTTCCTGACCTGGCAAAAAAAGCCTCTGATAAATTTGTTTCTCTTCCATCTGTTTCTCCAATCACTTTTTTTATGCAGACATGGCCCCACTTTTTTATGATAGGTAGAAAATACCTTGTACATACATATGCAAGTTGAGGTGGGCCTGCAAAAAGCTCTCTGTAAAAAAACACTATGCCAAACTTCGTATCTGCCCTAGATTTTTGTCCAAATGTAGCCTCTTCTCCCTAATACTATTTACCCTCTTTCCTTCCTCAAGTTCTCAGTTCCTATGTGCCAAGGGAAGCCAAGCGCAGCTGTGGTGGCCTTGCAGAACATTTTCTGTTTAAGTGCCTGAGTGAGTGCTCTTTATTCCATACACCCAAGAGGCAAGAAGAGTCAAGGAAGTTCTTATCCCAGCCACCTTTTGCTATACTGATACTGGAGCAAGCCTGTGTTTACTCTGCAGACAAACAACTCATTGCAATAACGTAACGGGTCTTTTTTCTTGCCACTTTTGATGCCTTTTCACTGGGATGTCTGAGTCAAGCAAAGCATGGCTGGGTTTGAGGCCCAGATTTGCTGACGGGACACATTTGACTGGAAAACATTAATCAAATATCCTAATCTATTCAACGGATGTTTCTTAAAACACGTATGTTCCTATACACACATAAGTCAGAAACACACTCTATTATTTCTTTGCAGATGAAGCCACATTCCCAATGACATAAAAGACCTTTCATGTAGTTATGGCAATATATGTAGACCTCCTTTACTAACGTGGGTTTTGATTAACATCATAACACATTAACTACCTCCTTTGTTCAATGCTATTTTTAAAAGAAAACTGGAGGTTTGACTACATTACCTTTTAGAAAAGGTTAATGGGCTGCCTTCTGCTGACATAATCAGCCTTCTTGTGGAAAACAAAAATGCCTAAAACCTGAAGTGTCTTCCACCTTAGATAATTTTGTTCAGCATGACCTCAGGAATGTTAGCACTTCAGGATACCACTGCAGTGCCTCAGATTGTTCATGTCTCCCTAGCTACACTCTGTTTCCCAGCACATACTGGTGCCCATCATGGAGTGGGAAATACTGTAGTACAACACATTTATAGAATGACCAGGGAAACATAGTTACTGAAAAAAACAAAAGAATATGAGGTATCAAATATCATCATCCATACGGTTATACTTCTAGAATCAAATATAATTAAGTATTTTAACAAAAAGTTCTTTGAGCTTTGAATCTCAAGTAAAGGGTTGAGAGCTCCTCTCAACCCCCTCCTCAAAGGAGGAAAAAAGAGATTTCTAATTATATTTAACTTACATAACTTCCCATTTAAACCTGTTCGAGTTGTGTAATGGTGCTAACTGCAACCAGCAACAACTCTAATTTGTTGTTCTTGCCATGAAAGCAGTCATGAGGTTTGTACATTTTTTGCAACACCGGCTGCTTTATTCACTCTGGTACACAATGCCTTATAGGAATGGATTTATTCCTTTAAATATCTGCTCACTGAGGGAAGTTACAGTTTCACATTTGGGTAGATAGAGCGGGTTTACATAAGCCATGTGTGTGGTTATATCTTGGAAAAAACCCAATGGTTTTGTTCTAAACTCTGAGACAAGCAAGAGCTTTTTTCGAGTTTCGGATGTGGGGGCAACTAGGATGCATAGCTACTCCCTCTCCTTGAGCTGACAACTGCCTGTCTAATCTGATAAACTTGACAGGTATATTAGATCTAAGTGGCAATGGGCATAAACACCTGGGTCATAATTCCCGCTGAGCTCTAAGTTTGTTAGCCATTGTGAAATCCTGCCTGTTTTTGCAGAATTCCTACAAGAAGTTGTCCTTTCTCCACCCTGCTCACCTCCCCCAAAGTGACAATAATTTTTATCACTGAAATTCAAACCTGGTGGTACGCTAAACCTTCATGCACCATCTGACCAGTAGCATTGATATACTGATAGCAATAGAAATGAAATGAAATAAAGATTACCTGTAGAAAATCCCATCTTCTTGTGGCACTTCGTAAACTCGATATTAAAATAGGTGACCAAGGCATGAATGTAATCATTACGCTGAATTTGGAGGCAGAATGCAGAAGTAAATTCCAATTCTTCAGTCTTCACTGTGTAAATATCTACTTCCTGTTTTGAGGAGAAAGAAAAAGACATTTACGTGCAGATGTCAGTGTCTCTAAGGTAAGAGTTAAGTGATGTACTTAAGCATTTTATCTAATGATCAGCAACAAAGACAACTGGCAGCCCTTTAACACTGTAATAAATCAATGGTACATTTGAATATATCATATCATCAGCAAATGATAGAGTTATCTAAATTGACAGAGTGTGGTGAGAGTGTGTGTCCTTGAGAATGGCAGGGAGCTGGGGAAAATCAAGGTAAAATGTGCTTTGACAAATATAGGTGCAATGGATGATGAAATGGAGATACAGGTTCAAATTCTAAGACCTTTCATCATCAGGGACTATCAGCATGAGGGAAGATGGCAGAGTTGAGTTTTTAATAAAAATAAACTTCTGATTTGTTTGAGCATCTCTGGAAGGCAATGTGCTTTGTGTGAATCAGTCAAAACATTTGAGACATGACAGGGCCCTGCTTTTTGCTGATAATGCTTCTAGTCCTGTGTCAGATAAATAATTCCAAATAGTAAGCACAGGGATCTTATTCTTGCACTAGTCAGAGGCAAATAATATAAATCATAATATGGCTTGATTGAAGTAGTTGGGAGCAGTGATGTAGTCTCCAACATTTCTTATTGCCATCAGTATTTAAATCTCACTGTTCAAGGCTTAAACTGAGGTTGTTTTAGATGGATCAGATTTTCCCAGCTAGTTATTGCTTTCATCTGGGTTGTTTCCAAAACTCGTAGTCATGACAGGGAAGATGCTAAGTCTGAAGTACTATTAATTGTATTTTAATGCTATGGGAAATGTTTCCAATCAGTGCACTTTCTTTCCTCTTAAGTGTCACTCTCCTTACTGTGCTTGTCAGGGCATATTTGGCAATGTTAGAAACATAAAAAAACGCCCCAACCAACCAAAAAACCAACCCAACAAACAAACAAAAAAACCCAAACAAAAAACCCAAAGCAAACAAATAAAAAGCCTCTCAGCTTAAGCCTTGAACAGTGAGATTTAAATACTGATGGCAATAAGAAATGTTGGAGGCTACATCACTGCTCCCAACTACTGCAATCAAGCCATATTATGATTTACATGATTTGCCTCTGACTAGTGCAAGAGTGATCCCTGTGCTCAAACTCTGTGGTTAGTGGGACATGGTCCTGGGGGAAGGAACAGAATAATGTAGATCAAGTCAAATGACGAAATACCAAGATAGGCACAAGGGTACCAAACTGCTGATGCAACCAAAGAGAATCTTACTTGAACTATGGGTGAACTACCCTAAGTAGCATAGTAAAAAACCCGCCCTCGTGCAGGGAAAGCCCCCTACCAACAAAAGTCTCTTCGCCAGAGAACATGCGCAGTGAAAAAAGAGGGTTCTGTGATATTAAATGAAGATGAGGCATTGCAGAACCTACGGGAACAAGGGTGACTAAGTATGGCTGTAAAAATATTGGTAACAGTTACTCAGGATGTATAAAATGCTTACCATGTGTTGGCTGAAGTGCACTAGCTTTGTGGAATTGTCACCTATCACCCCTCTCTGCACAGTCATGAAATAGCATGACAAAAAATATCATATCACTTCAAGACCCAGTATCTCAACTCGGTGTGTTGATCAGCTCTTTGCACACCGGGTGAAGAACACTGAGTTTTAGAACAGCAAGAGCCAGATACCCTCCCAGTGTTTTCTCTCTGTTATTTGGTATTAAGTCAGTGGTAACAACAAAACTGCTCATGCATACAGAGAAATAGAAACTTTGTAGGTAGAAATCCAGATTTCCTCTACCATACCAACATAAACCAGGAATTGTATCCCTGACCTCACCAGCATTATTTCAGACTCACAGTGCAAAAAATGGAGAGCACAATCTAGAATGTCCATTAAAGGGCTCTTCCAGCCTCTTTCAGGGCACAATAGAGGGGTCTCTCGGCAATTGCTTTCTACAAGAGAATTCTGCGAAGGTAGACATCAAATGATGCAGCCATATTTCAGTTACTGAGGTCTTTGCACGGACCACATATTGTGTGTTTCTAAGACTTTGATAAAAGCAAGCTACAGTTTTGGCCTGGCTGATGAGCAATATTGCTCAAGAATAATGTAACCATCATGGAAATTATTCTACTACACTGATATGTCACCCTGAGTCACTAGTGCTTATAGCTGACCCATGCTTATAAAGGGTCATTTAAAGCTGGGATAGCCTTAAAATGCGTTTGGGTTGTGTTTTTGTGTTGGGTTTTTTTTCTGGAAAGAAGACAAAAAGAAAAAAGGCATACTAGGAATAACAATGTCTAAAGTCTCCTGGGAGATTTCCGTAGCAACTTGCAAAACTTGCTTTGTTAAGCTAGACTGCACTGGTTGGTGATAGCCAGAGATTTCTGTAATTTTTGGGTGTCTTTTTAGTGGTTACACTGTGGGGAAATTGTGAATTAAATCTGATGATGAGGCACATAAAAGAGATCTGGTTCCCTCTCTCTGAGCTGTGTTTGCTCTGCAGGGTAAAGTGGATCAAAAGCAGTAGGAAATATTTTTATTAGAGAAGTTAGTGGAAATGTCTCAGAAGTATTGAACAGATGTGCTGGGCACAATGGTGGTCACTTTTGTGGCCATTTTTTTAATGAAAGAAATGCTATTTTTATTATGCAAGATATGATACAAAATGTAAGTGGTTTGGTTTTTTTTTTTTTTAATTAATAGAATTTTGGAACTGTCCAGATTCTGTTTTGGTTATCTCTTTGAATCATAACCTGGCTACTATATATTCTCATATTAAATGTCACTGCTCATTGAATGTTAATTACAGCTTATTAGCACAGGGGATAAATGCTATCTTTGCATAAAATAAGTGGAAAAGTCACGAGTTACCCAATTTCATTCATATTTCAAAAACAACAACAACAAAACGGGGATATTTAAGTTGGAATCTGATCAAAATACAGCTCTTAATTATATAGAAAAAACACCCAACAGTGTTAAGCGGAGCAACAATAAAAGTGTCAGAATTATCAGCTAAATAAGGAGGTCCTGACCGTGGTTGACGCTGCATGAAAGACCATGAGACATCCCATGCTACATGTCCCTGTGGCAGAGAGACAGATAGAGGTTCAGTGTCCACATTCACTGGATAAAGCATGGGGTTTGAGCTGTTCTGTGGCCCAAATTGCTTTAAGACTGAGCAAATAAAGAAAATATCACGTAGAATCCCAGGGATGATGGCAGTGAGGTTGAGAAGCCGTGTTGCCAGGTGATATGTATTCCTTGTTTGAGTGCTATCACCCTAGCTGAGTCAGGTTTGCCGATGGGAAACATGCTGACTTGCTGCCCGTTTCATCATGCAAATCGTAATTAAGGTTGCTTCTAGAGTGTCACTGCACCTCTTTCCTGATCCCCTTTCAGCCGCTCAGCATGTTCAGCTAGGATTGTGTGAGCATGGAGATAAGATTCACATCTCAGGGAATGTCTGGATTTGGTGGGGTTTTTTGTTTGTTTTTGGATTTTGGGGTTGGAGTTTTTCCTCCCTTCCTCTCCCCATTACACCAGCTGTCTTGGATTGGAAAAAGAGGGAAGTGGTCACCCCAACGTAGGATGTGATGGTGAAGAGAGTGCTAAATCACAGCAGGTAAAAATTGCCAGCTTCAGGAAAAGGATTGATCTGAAGGCTGAGAAGTAAAAGTAATTACTAGGGAAAGGAGAAAGGGCCAAAGCGTCTTTCCTGACAAGCATCGAGAAAATGACCAATGCTGTCAGGTGTACACACATGCATACAGATGTGAGGGGATCACTAAAGCAAAAGCCCCCAAAACACCTTGCTTTTCCAAAAGAAAATGTTGGGGTTTTTTTTGTTGCTGTTTTTTTGTTTGCTTTTTTTAAGAGTGAAGGGAACTAACAGTATTGATGTGGGGAGAGAGGAAGTAACATTAAAATCTGGGTGTTTCAGGGGAGAAGTGAAAGGAAAAATGAAGTATCTGAGATTGTTTTCACTAGATATTGCAGCATATATTGGTTTTTTATTAGCTGAAATAACAGGTAAGCAAGTGTAGCTATGGCTTCTGGAGAGCACAGACCTCAGTCTCCTGCTGGGGTCCCTCTTCTGCCATATTTTCCTCTTTGCACAGAAGGAAATGGCTGAAAATTACCAGTTGTGGTTTGTTTGGGTTTTCTGGGTGGAGGGGCAGGCAATAGATGGAGTTAAGCCTGAGGTTGCTGAAAGGAAAGACTGCAGGGAAAACTGTTGTTATTGTAGTCTCTGGTGCTGACACCAACATGGAGAAGAAGTTTTGGGTCGATTCAAAACTGTGTTTTTCTAATATGCAAAGGGATCGGAGAAGAAAACACTATTGTGTTGCTGAGTTTGAAATAAACTTTTCCATTATTTCAGGCAACGTTACTGAAAGCAGTAGGCCCTCAGAAGAACACTTGTACCCTTTTCCTGAGATCAGTTATTGACTTTGGTGGCTTGAAGATGTTTTAGTCCCACTACCCTCCCTGCCTGATTTGTTTTAGAATTTAAACAGAGGACTCCTACTTCCCAGGAAAAATTCTATGCCCCTGGGATATATTTAATTGCACATTCAAAGGGGAATTGCTTCCACAGCAGAGATGCTGTATTCCTGCATGCACCACTCCCAGTGCACCTGTGCCTTAGTTGCTAGAGTTTCTTGAAGGGTTCAAGACTTGGGTCACATCCAATTCCTGAAGAGTACAAAAGAGGAAATTTTACTCAGGTCTCCAGCATTCTAGATAAGTGTCATGGTTACATAGCATGCAGGGGCTGATGTCTTGTTTAGCTGATTCTGTAGGGCGATTCAGAGCATCTAAATTGGGAACTGAGACAACTGCAGAAGCACAGGGCTCTGACTGGTCTGTTAGAAATGACTAGCATACAGGGAACCCAGATTTATCTGGTAGGCACCCTAAGTTAGCCGGTTTTGGGTTGAATACACCCATAAAAATCCTGCTGTGAATGTAAGATGAATATGCTGTGCCAACTTGAAATGCTATAATAAAACATTTGAATAATTAAATGTTATTGCTTTGTTTATTCTCAAATGTTTTCTTAGGCTAATATTATGCTCTTAACAAATATTTTCAGGATCAAAGAAATGCACTTTATATTAAAAAAACATGTAAAAAGTAAATTAAATTAAATAAAGAAATGCAGCCTCAGTTTTTCCTGCTTCCACATTCCTAGCTGAAGACAACTGTCCCTCCTTCCTGCCTATCATTGCCAATTTTCTCTTCTTTGTAGCGACCAGTTTGTGTGATTAGGGACAGATTCTGGAATGGAGAGTAGTTTCTGCTTCTGTAGTTATTACCTACTCTGTTCCCAAGATACCGTTACACGGTAAAGCACCATTCGGTGTATGGACAAAAGATGTCTGGCCATGCAGAATTAAATATAAAACCTGAATAGGAACAGTTTGAAAAATCTTGTCTGTCTTCTTAAACCCAGTTACTTTCAAAAACTCTCTAAAGGAAGCTTTAATTTTGTACTTTATGTAAGGGCAGGCAGGTTTTACAACTTTTTATTCCAGAGAAGCCAACCCATTTGCCACCTGATCTTTCCCTCTCCAGACATATTTTATACAGTCTATATGGCTGTTTATTTTGTGTGTTGCAATTTTAAATCTGCAGTTTTAAATCTCAGGCTGTTTTCAGACACAACCATCTTGTGCTCCCCTCAGTGCAGATGGACCGTTCATGCATACGTACTCACACAGATTTTCTACTTCTGTTCCTTTTTGCTGCTTTCAATAAAGGTTCTGCAGACTTAAGGTATTTTTTTCATTTTTGCATGTGGGACTACTTAATGCTGTATTTGTTACTGGCAAAAAAGTGAAAGGGAAAAATTAGAACTGAGTTTTTGGGATAAGTGAGCACACTTTGGGATTCACGGACCTGGTCTTACCACTGCTGTTCAGGTGGACAGCCTTATGCGTGACACCAGTCTCACACGAGGAGGATTCCTTCACATGGAAGGAATTTTAGAGCTTTCATGTGTTCCTGCAGGCTATGGATTCTTAACCTGATCTTGTGAACAAGTAGTGTCTTGTATGCAGAACAGGGTACAAGCTAACCTCTGGCTGCAGATGTTGGTGCTGGGAGAGCACAGTGACATTCAGATAAGGCTAAGAATTAGGAAGTTATACAGTAAATTAGGTTCCAGTTCTGATCTCATGCTCTGGAATAAATAAGAGTTATTTCATCAGAGCTGAACAATTCAAAAACTTATGCTTTAGTCTTTTTCACTGAAACAGAATGAGTTTACCTCTTCTTCTCAGCAGCATTCCATCAGTAATTTCCAACCTCTATTTTCAAGAAGGTAGGGCAATTAAAATTTGTATCTAGATACACCATGTGTCTATTTATACAGTATTTGCGCATGTATCATTCGTAAGAGTCTTAAGTTACGCTTAGCAGTAGCCAGATGAGTAGAGAGTCACAAAAAGCATCCTGCTTTCTGGTATTCCATAAGTGATCAAGGTATCAATGTTCATGTTTATTAGCTCAGGTGATGATACTGGGCATGTGCAACATACTAATACTAATTTAAAACTGCACAATTTTCCTCCTTAGTGTGATAGCATTCTGTGATGATGGCTTCACCTAGCTAGTTAGAAGCATACAAAGATCATAGTAAAACATAAGAAGCAGGTCTCCAAAGAATCCTACAGTTAGGTGTAAACATTCATAATTAGGTATATTTGGAATTACCAAACCTTTATTAAACAGGCATTGGTCACCACTTGCTTTGGATCTACTATGTCCACCAAAGGCTCCTTCATGGCAACATCCCTAATACAGGTCATGTCAAAGCCGTACACATTCTCCCACCCTGTCAATGCAAATGGATGTGTCAAAGATTATTATTAGCAATAATAATAAAAATATTCTTTGTTTCTCAAAGCATCTTTCATTTGAAAGAATTTCTACCATCTCCTAACTCTCAGCTTTGCACTTTAGCTCTTTGCTCTCTGCCCCAGTTGTCTATGTCACCATTGCTATTTTACAGATAAAGCAGTTGTGGCAAAATAACCCCTTGATGTACATATTTGAACAAGTGGCCCTTGTTTTTTGGTGTCCCCAAAACTGTGTTATATGAGATTTGACAATGATTTTCATGGTTTCAGACATTTAAGTGTTGCCCCAAATCAAATAGTATGTCAGATTGAGACTTGGGAATAGCTGCTAATATTATTCTACCCTTTCCTATCCATTCTAGTTAATATTTCATTTTTTTATAAGTTGTTATTCAATCAGCAGTTTGCATGCTCTTTTAATTATTCAAGTAGTCTTAGTTTCAGCAACTAAATTAATGACAGGAGTAGAATTACAGGTGTGTTTCAATATTTGTGGCATTTGAGCTTTAATCTGCATGTACATCATGACAAAAAAGAAAAATATCCACTCTAAAAGATTTAAAAGCCATGCTGGTCCTCTATATTTGAACTGTTCTTCTGATTGTTCCAGTAAACGCTTCTTATCTTGCTGAGAGTTTTCTATAAATTTTTTTTCCCTTGAAAAAAATGAAAACATTGAAACATTGAAAAGTACACTGGCTTTGCTTTTAAGATTTCTTAACAAAATGAAAACAAAAACCTCCAAAAAAGTGAAATATTATGATTTTAAAAGAATTATATGAGTCGAGGTCCATTCAGTGCTTCATCTGAAAGTCTAAACTGAATACTGTTGAGTGCTTTAAAAATTGTTTGAACACAAGCAAGGTAAACTGATGAACAGCAACAGTGAGCATGTTTTAAATGTCTTGTTTTTTTTCAGAGCATAGCATTCGATCTACTGGTGTTTCCAGCGGACTACAATTGAAAATGTACTACGAGGAAAAAATCTGCATATTTCTAAATTGGAACAAATCCGGTCATGAACAGTTCTTACGTTATCTCTTCAGTAGGCTGTGAGTTTCTCAATATTTCAGGGGAGCTAGTGATCAAAACTATAGTTTCATGCACCAGGAGCGTGTGGGAACTTCGGATTACATTTATAGAAGCCATACGTTTTTACATGGTTACTCAGAACATATTGACTAGGAAATCCTGAAGGAACAATTTATGAACAGAGTTGTTGGAGCCTCAATCCCTGGATGTACTTCAGCCGACATGGGATGCCTCTGAAATATATGCACAGTCTGTATTAAACAGAGATGTGTCGCCGGAGCTAAAACATATAATTTTATGTTTTACGTTTTGCAGGAAATCAGAGTAATTGACTATAATAGTACTCTGTGGCATTAGTAAAGTTTCAGAAATCAGATGTTTTCAGAAACTTCATATTGCATTATTTCTTATTCAGTACGATGGTTCTTGAGTGTCCTTTGAGATGTTCAGTCCTGCATCTCATATGGAGGCCAGAATCTACCAGCTTAAGAAAAAAAAGATGAAAAATTGGAATGTAAGGAGACACCAGCAAGGTTTTATAAACTGAAAAGAGTGAGAAGATGGTAGTGCAGAAAGGTAGTGAGATAGAAATAACTGAAGAAGACACAGAGGTATGGAAAGTGAGGGGAGAAAGGAAATCAGAACTGAAATAAGAAAAGAGAGTTTCATAAAGGAAAACATTTCAGAAGAAAAAAAGAGCTCAAAACATTTTTTTTTAAATGATGAAGAAATAAATGAGTTGAAACCTGATGTACTGTGTGTGAGAAAAGAAAAAAGGTCAAGGCCTAGACGTTAAGGGGTTCAAAAGCTGGGTGAAAGAAGGCATAAAAGATATTTTTAGGCCAAAATGGCTTTGATTCCTTTACAGAATGGACGCCTTATATACCCTTTTGAGTCTCGAAATTTTGTAAGGGATTTAGCTGTCAAGGTCATCACATAACTGAGGAGAAAAATAATTGTCCCAGGCAGATATACAGAATTCTGACTGCCCAACTGCACTGGGCTTGCTTTTGATCCAAAACGGTAGTTTTGACCCATTGGCAGTTGTGTCTGTCAGAACTGAAACTGATAACAGAAACACCAAACTTTCTTTTCTGAAAGGTAAGGAATGAGGAGTTAGGCACCTTCATTTAAAGGCTGACTGAAGGCACTAATTTTACCCAAGCTTTTTCATGTATCCTTAATTAATAAACCTGATGGAATTTTGTGATTTTCTGTCCCCTAATGGAAAAAGCCTTTAAGTGAAATTGACCAGCTCTGAAAAACAAAAGTCAAAAAAGAAAAGAAAAGTGAAATAATGTACAACTTACTCATTTCATCAAAACTATTATGACCACATAAATGCAAACTTGGATGACCTGGGGGACAACAAGTTGATTGTGAACCAGGAATATGACCTTGTGGTGATGAACCTGAACCACATGCTAAGATAAGGAGTGTCCACGAAGACTGGGTTTTCTTAGCCTGGGGCAGCAAAGGCTAATAGTGGGTTCTAATTGCTATCTGCTGCTACAAAAACAAAGAAGTGAGATACCTTTCAGGTGAAAAGGGACAGTGAAGGCAGTTTCATCAAGGGAAATTCTTAGTGGATACTCAGCAACATGCTTACTTCTGAGGGTGCTTCAGCATTTAAACAAGTGCCCAGAAAAGCTATCGAAACCCATCTCTCTCTGACTGACCCACTGTAACTGTGAAATCTGGTCTGCTTTTAGCAGGAGACTGCACTAGGTGACCTGTACGGCACCAGTTAGTCAATGAAAATTCAAGGGAAAAAAACCAACCAAAAAAGAATTTAAATGTAAAGGAAAAGTAAATTTTATGATTCCATGAAGTAAAAAAAGTTTAGAACCTTTTTTCACATCAAAATAAAATGGAAATTTCTGATCCTTATTTTTAAGTTAAAAATTCTTACATAAACTGTTTTAAAAAGTTAAAAAAGCATTACATGTTTTTTTCTTCTTAACAAGCTTATTAGTGAGATATCATTTTTTTAGGTTTATTTCTTAACATTGACAATTAATTTCCATCTTATTAATTTTTCTGTTCCTGTTATTTTAAAACCAAAACCCAACACCTAGATGGCAAGAATGTATTACCAATTTTGATGGCAGTTATGTGGGATGATGTATTTATCAAAACAACAACAAAACTAAATATCCTAAAACCCACATTTTAAAATAGAGACAGAGGTATCAATATAACTCAGAGCAAGGTCTGCATCAATTTATTCATGCATCTGTCTTTGCGCTCCCTTTGTGTCCTTTAAATGACTGCAACATTCCTGAATTTCTCACCAGACTAGAGTTTTTGCCAGTGTTCATGTTTATATTGAAATTCTGACCTGCTCAACGTAATTTCTTGGCTTTTGCAAAACTTTGCCAGCAAAGAGATTACAGTGGGCCACTATAAATCAAATATCTTAGGGAAATAACCATAAAAAAGGGTTACATTAGGTGTTTACTCACAGTGAATTTTGAAGTCCTTGTACTGTCTGTCTTCAATTGCTACCACGTACAAAGCAGCTCGGTCTGGAAACATTAGCCCTCCAGGTTTCTGTTGATGAATTGTGGGGAAATGGATCTCGTAATCTATTCACCTGACAAAGACATCACATTTTGAACTGCACATACAAAAACCAGACAAGCACCCCTTGCATGCCTTTATTGTTTTCCTTCAGATTGTCACATCAGCTCTAATCTCAGCAACTCTCGCAGCCTGTGGCAACATCATTAGATAATGTCTATATGAATTGCACCAGCAACAATCAAAAGCAAAGCTTTCACTGAGACTCCCTTTGTTAATCTTTTTGTTAAAGCCTAAGAAATGGCACTTCGAGAGGTAACTGTGTCTTGTTGTGGTGACAGTAGGCGAGAGAAGGCTTGCAGTCAGAAAATAAAAGACGATTGCTCCAGTAAGGAGTATGACATGCAGAGCACCTACCAGCCACTTGTCTCGTGCGAAGATGACTGTGTTTAACATTGATTCATAGAACAGACAGTAACCCATCCACTCGCTGATGATGATGTCTACTTTATCCACAGGTAGTTCAACTTCTTCCACTTTACCTTTAAATATTGTGATTACTGAAAAAAGAATTCAGAGAAATATGTCCCACGTAATAAAACACCTGACTAAGTTCCTTAGTGGTGAATGTCAGGCTGACCCTTGCGATATGATTCTCAAATGACTGTAGGTAAGGGGTGACTCCAGCAGACTCAATGGATTTTACACTATTTTAAAACTACTTGCAGTAAGTATAATAAACAGAGTTTTTAGTGTCAGTATAGAAGGAGAAATAAAAAAAACAACACCCAAACCAAAACCCACACCAAATGAACCCCATCTATATAAAACAACAGAAAAAAAAGGCCTTACCTGGTTACCTGCATGATCTCATTTTACAGGCCCTTTGGAATTTGGAAGATTTCTAGATCAATGACCAAGGAATGCAAAGAATCCACCTAGAATCCTTTAAACATCCCTCTAGGGTTACACACGCTTGATTTCATCACAGAGATTTATAGAACTATGATCTAATTCTCATCGGCTTTTCCAACATATTGCTGACTTCACAGTGAGTAAATCAGAATCACAGAATGGTTTGGATTGGAAAGGACCTTAAAGATCATCCAGTTCCAACCCCCCTGCCATGGACAGGGACACCTTCCACTAGACCAGGTTGCATAATTTCTTCCATGAATTCTGGGGAGCCGAATCAACTGAGAAAGTCAGATCTAGCCTGACAGTACACAAAAAGTAAGGTTGTGCAAGCATGATTATCTCATGAAAATGATTTTTCATTCCTTTCTGCTTCATGGTTAAATCTTTTATAACATACTGGCATTCTCATGCTGAATCTTCTGTCTGGTTTATCCTTGCATAACTTTCCACAGTTATCTAAAGTGATTGCTGGAAAACATTGCTGTCAAGTATTTTGTCACTAAATTAGTTGCAAGGAAATGAAAAAGGTTGGTGGACCTTTGAATACCAGAATCCTCAGAGATACATTAGAACACAGTGCATTAAATTACTGGCAATACTGTATGCTACTTACAGGAGACTGGGAATGCACTGCAAAAGCAAATCAACAAGCAATTAATAGAACTGATTGATGCTAGAAAGGATATTTTGCTTAAAGGAAAATTCAGTATTGGTCCATGTTCAGTTCAGTTGTAAGAAATAATTTTGGTTTAGAATCACTACACAATTCACCAATCATTCTTGCTTGCCTTTTTTTTTTTTTTTTACATATTTCCTACTTACAAATGTAATCCAAATTCTTTAGACAAATAATTTGCAGCTTGTGGTTGTCTGCTATTTATATTGTTTGTTGCAGTGGGTAAAGTCTCATGGTTCTGGATTCTTCCTTGACAAGGAACTGATGCACTTGAAATTCAGGAATAAAGTGAGTAGGGAATATTTTACTTTCCATTACTAATATACAAGATTACTGTATTACTCAATAAGTGGCAATTTTTAGTGATGGCAAGTTTTATTGATGAAAGTGGTCAACATTCAGTTTGAGGAAGATGAAGGTACTTCCATTTAGCTAGAAGTAGGTTAGCTGTTTAAGAGTGGAAGTGTGGGTTCAGTGATTTTTAGAACTCAGCCCATGGAAACGCAGTTATTGTCTTCCCAAAATACACGTGCTGCTAGTATTACTCTAACAAAATGTGGCTACTTTATTTACATAGCAAACATTTGATCCAGACTGGCCCCCTAAGAAGCTGGGAACACTCTGATTCAGACTGGTTAACACATAGTATCAGCTGGTTAGAGCAACCTGATTGGAAAGGAGCAGAGTTCTCTTCTCCTTCCCATCCTTTAAACTTCTTCCTTTCATAGTTAGTAGGTCAATAGTTCATCTGCTGTTATACTGAGGACTCTTCATATTTATAAGCTACAGCCATCAGTTCTCTTTAGTTCTCTTTTCTCCCAACAACTTTCACTGCCACAATTCTTTTGAAGTGAGTTTTGGCGCTGACAGCTGCCAGAATGACACACCTGCAGACTCTGAAGCCCTCTGTACCTAGAACAGTCACAGTGTAAGCAGCAGCACAAGTTCCTCTCACCTCCCTTCGCTTTGATGAAACACCTTCATAAGGCGTCAGGTGGGAACAGACTGTGCTGTCCTCAGCTCTAGTGTATCTGCTCTGGAAATAATGAGGTTCTCTTGCTTCAGCCCTTTTTGCTGACTCTGCATTTCTCTAAACAATTAGGGGGGAAAAAAAGAAATTTTCCATGAGCAACAAGACACTTTGGATCAGTACTTGGTTGTGTTAAAAGTGAATGTGGGTCAGTGTAAAGCATGTAAGTGTAAATGTTAGTTCAGTTGTGTAATTTGTTTGTACTGGCGATCAAACTGCAGTTGGACAGAGTGCTGAACCTGTCCAGGCAAGTCTCCTGCCAAAGGAAGGGGCTTCTGCTTCCTCCTCCACAGGTTTTCCAAGGACGTGCTCCTTGGAGAAAAAGGAGGAAAGAGAGATAAATACCTTCTGCAACCTCTGGAGCACACTGGAACTTTCTTATTTATTCTGACAATGGTCCATTCACACACAATTCCGCTTGCTGGAAATCCAAAACGTGAACTGATTTATGGTGTGCTGTTTGGGGAAAGGCCATTCTGGGAATATGCAGGCTCTACACAAAGATGCAGGATAACCAAGCTGAGGTCAAGACCTCACTGTTCTTAATGCTTTATGTCTACTGTGAAGCAGCGTATTTTCCTTTGCTTCCTTCTTTTTCTGACCCATAAGTTACATACACAGGCTGGCCTCTTACATCCCGCGTCACAGCTGTTTCTTTCACACCACGCCACTTGAATACACATGCTGTGCAATAAATTCTCCTCTCAAACAGCTCCGTGTTAGTCAGAAGCTGCCAGTCACAGCAATAAAAATTAGAGCAGATCTAAACGAGAACAGAAATCTATTCCTGCGCATGTGCTAGCGTAGTACCCGTGCAGACACAGCTAAAAGCGGGGCAAACGATGCAGTCTAGCCAGCTACGACCCGTGCTGCCATGCAGAAAAGGCAGGCTCTTCTCAAAGGGCACTTTTAAACAGAACCGTCTCACAGCCTCAATTTAAAGAAAAGCCAACATGACAACATCCTGACATTTTCAGTTGTCATCCAGCAATGTTTTTATTAAATGAAGGACTTCTTCAGTTTCTCATACTGCCCCTGTGACACAGCTCAGACAGATCACTACCTGTCCAACGGGACATTTCATGCCATCTAACGTCAATGTGTTAGTGGGGGGACTTGTCTGGGAGGCACATTCGCTGCTCAGGGTCTGGCTGGGCATCGGTTGGCTGGTGGTGAGTCACTGTATCACTTTTTTCACCCTTTTTCCTTTTTATCATTGCATATTATTAGCAGCATTATTTATAGTACTATTTTCATTAAGTATTATCATTAGCATTAGTATTATTATCATTATTTTACTTCATTTATTTTCAATTATTAAACTGCTCTTATCTCAATCCATGAGTTCTCTCATCTTTTTCCTTTGACTCGCCCCCATCCCGGAGGTGAGCAAGTGGCTGTGTGGTGCTTAGTTGTTGACTACAGATAAACCATGACACACTGTTATTCTGAGAACTGTGTTTTCATTTGTGTGAGTGTGTCTTTCAGTATCGATTGGGTTTTTTTTGTTAATTTAAAGTTGGGAGTCAGGAGAAACTCCGTGAAAAATTTGTATGGATATGCAATACTTTTGCTTTGAACCTTATTTCAGTTTGAATGCGTGTGTGTGTGTTGATTGTATTTCACAGATAACGCGGAATTCAAATGGCAGAATTAATTTGAAAAGTTCAGCTTTAATATGGGGCCTTCTGTCCGCTTTGCTAAATCAAGCTGCTCACTGCTAAGTCCTATTTGCTTCTGTTGTTTGTGAGCCTAGGAGTAAATGTAAAATAACTTCTCCCACAAGGAACTGTTGTAGTGCCTAGAATGAGGTGCTTTCTTTTGTATTTACCTAAGAAAATTATGCAAAACTACCATTTACATATAAACCACCCAACATAAATTAATCAGAAAAAGTGAAACTTTCTCCCGAAGAAATTATTTTTATATATGCCTTACTGTTGTCCAAGTGGTTGGCCTTGATAATTTTTTCTGAGTAGTCAGATATACTTGAGCATTCAATCTAGGGAAAAAACAAACAAACAAACAAAAAAAGAAAAACAAGAGGAATTATGTGTTAGAGATCTCAAATATATCAATAAACCAAAATCTACTGAATTAGACTCTACAGAGCATGTAACCATTGATAAAGAGTAAATCAAACCTGTGTGGGCAGGATCATGATCAATGATATCTTAATATTCAAACTGCAGTCTGTGTTTGAGTTAAACTGTCTCTTATAGAAAAGATTGTTTTAAGTACTGTTGAAATGTGCGGAAAAAAGGTCCTAACTACAAAGTTACGTAATTTATTAATGATATAATTTAATTTATTCCTGCTTCTTCAGAATATTGACTCCTCCCGCTCAAAAAAATCTGCTGATGGGAATGAATTAGTATGGTGCTATATTTCCTCACGTATTTTAAAGCAAAATTCATTCAAACTTTGTGAATAATGTTAAAATTCAAATTATGCCAATACTGCTCAGTGTCAAGAAGCAATTGCTTTTCTCTGCGAAAAATCTATCATCTTTGGCAATGCATGCTGTCAAAAAAGAATGGGTACATTTTACACATCAGAAATGACTGAAATTATTCTATTTACAAAAACATTCAGATCTGCATGCCTCTTCCTATGACCAGTTCATAGGTCATGAATGGCAAGGCAATTGGCTTTTACTGGGAAAGGAATTATAAAATACCTTCCAGTTTTAGATTTCCCCTCAAATTTTATTAAATTTGAGTTCTAGCATAAAAGGCCATGTTTGCAATGACTTTTGATATCTTTTAGAGAAGTACTGCATTCCATGAATCTCTCTGGGTTTTGTGCCCCTTTAAAATCATGAGGACCAAAGTTGCTGGTAGTCACCGAAGCGGTTCCTAATGTGGCTCTTCCAAATGTGACATAAAACTGCCAATAATATTTTGTAGAATTCTTGTCTCTCTAATTTCCCTCTGGGAATGTCAAATAGAATTATAGTATCTCTAGTGAGGTGTTTTAATATGTCCAGCAAATTCCATTTAACGTCTAAAACCAACTTGTGCTTGACGCCTGTGATGGCACTCACAGACGGCCAGGACAGCGAGTGGAAGGACACACAGATCCCATATTCTTTTTCCATAGCACATGAAACAGATAGACATAATGGCAGTCATAATATCAATCCCTGTGCTCAAGGGAAGATGAATATTAACCCTACTTAGGTTGCCTGTGGATGCAAACGGCTCCTTAAGATGTCTGACTCGATGGCCTAGACATAAGACAAAATTGGCATATAGAAAGGAACATCAGACTGCCAGTTCAGGGAGTCAAAGGAAGAAATGCCTTGGGGAGAACCCCTTCCTTTTTCTCTATTCTGCTGCTTCTTCCATTACTGTAAGCTCTATAGACTATAATGCCCTGTCTATACTTAAAGCCATTATAACATACTCAGTTTTCCTACCTCTGTTCACATCTGTCTGATATTTTCAATTTCGTTGCCCATGCTTTCTACTTGTTTTGGATAATTTTTAAACAAAGCATGAGTATGTATGTGTTTGGAGGTGGCTTTCCTCCAACATTTCTAAAGAAAAAGATGGAAAGAAATAAAAAGTTCTACTTCATGGATAACTGTAAGTTTCCAAAATTCAGCTTCATTCTCAAAGGTAAAATAATACAAAAATAACACTCAAATGTTCGAGGAATGAAGATATATTTCAGAACATAAACTTACTTTAGGGTGGCTAAAGCTGTTTGTCTCTGTTTTGACTTACTCTATACTGTGGTACAATTTTATTTTAAAAAGCAACTCATTTCAGAAAAAAAAAATACTGAATTCTGTAGGTGAAGAAATCAGAAAAAAAAAATCACTGTTGTCAGATTTTTTCCTCCAGTTCCCTTTCAAGTCAGTGATCTGCTCAAATTTGGCCAATTATACAAAGCATTTGGATTTTATGAAAACCGTGTGTTCCAATAAAATATATCTGTACCTCAGTTTACAGTCATAGAATGGTTTGGGTTGGAAGGGACCTTAAAGATCATCCAGTTCCAACCCCCCTGCCATGGGCAGGGACACCTTCCACTAGACCAGGTTGCTCCAAGCCACATCCAGCCTGGCCTTGGACACTTCCAGGGATGGGGCATCCACAGCTTCTCTGGGCAACCTGTTCCAGTGCCTCCCCACCCTCTCCGTGAAGAACTTCCTCCTGATATCCGATCTAAATCTACCCTCTTTCAGTTTAAAACCATTGCGCCTTGTCCTGTCTCTATAGGCCCTGTTAAAAAGTCTTTCTTTGCCTTTCTTATAAGCTCCTTTAATATATTGAAAGGCTGCAGTAAGGTATCCCTGGAGTAAGTAAGGTCCCAGGCTGAACCACCCCAACTGTCTCAGCTTTTCTTCACAGGAGAGGTGTTCCATCCCTCATCATATTCGTGGCCCTTCTCTGGACAAGGTCCAACAGGTCCATGTCCTTCTTTTGTTGGGGGCCCCAGAGCTGGACACAGTACTCCAGGTGGGGTATCACCAGGGTGGTGTATCTCCTTTCTCAACCTGCTGCCAACACTTCTTTTTATGCAGCTTGGGGTATGATTGGCCTTCTGACCAGTAAAGCACACACTGCTGGATCATATCTCATTTTCCATCCACTAGTATCCCCAGTCCTTCTCTGCAGGGCTGCTCTCAATCAATTCATCACCCAGTCTGTACTGACATTGGGGATTGCCCTGATTCAAGTGCAGGACCTTGCATTTGCTGAATTTCATGAGGTTCATACTGGTCCACTTCTCAAGCCTGTCAAGGTCCCTCTGGATGGCATCTTTTCCCTCAAGTATATCAACTACACCACTCAGCTTTGTGTTATCTACAAACTTGCTAAGGGTGAAGTAAATCCCACTACCTATGTCATTAATGAAGATGTTAAATGCTAGTGATCCCAGTAAGGACCCTCGAGGGACCCTTGAGTTTCTTCAACTGTGTGTGTATATTCATCATTACTTTCATTGCACTTTTCAGTCTTCAGTCTAATGCTATGAATGACTCCTCTTTTACTGAGGTCTTTTTCTGAAATAGTTGCCACATTCTACATTTCCTTTTCCCCTGGCCTGTCTCCTCATCACCACCTTTTTATCCAAATCAGCTAACACCTGACATGTGCCTTCATTTTATGTGTCTGTTTAGGTAATTCTTTCCTACACTGTCTCGTTTGTCTGAAAATACCACAGAATTCACATAGTTCTAGTGCAGTGATTGCCTTGAATTTTGTATGACTAAACTCAGCAGGTGAATCTAGGTTTCAAGGGATCATTGAATGCATTTTTCTGTCCCTCACTCACCCCTCCCAAGCACCACCAGCCACATACAATTCTATCTCCACATGCCTTGAAGAGGTTCCCCCAATGCAACAGCTATCTTCAACTATCTAAAAAGGGCTTGCAGAGAAACTACAATTAAACTCTTCCCTGACGTGCATAGTGACACAACAAAAGGGAATAATCCTGATCTGCAGCAAGGGAAATTCCAGGGCTTGTAGCATTGGAATAGATGATGAGAGAGGATTTAGAGTCTCCATCCTTGGAGAGTTTCCAATGTGGACTGGACAAAGTCCTGAGTAACCTGATATGTTTTTAAACTTATGTCTGCTTTGAGAAGGATGTTGGATTATGTATTTCCACAATTACCCTAAACTAAACCTTTCTGACTCAGTGATTCTGATGCACACCTCTTGAAGACCCAGAGATGATTTTAGCTGTTAGCTGAGGTAGTGGCAATGAACAAGTTCCAACAGTGAGTAAGAGGGGATAAGAAGAACCACACAGGGTAGTGGATTAATTTGAACCAGAAGGAGGTCAAGAGTAAGAAAGAGGAGAGTGATTTCAGTGGCACTGTAGTCAGAAAACCAACACTCTGCATTTGTCAAAAGCTCCCACAACATACTACTTGAAAAATAACATCTAACTGTAGAGAACAAACTGGAACATCTCAGCTCTAGGTAATAACTCCTGGCAAATGTTTGCTTTTTAAAAAGAATGCTCTGTTTCCATTGGCATTCTTTGGCAATAGGACCAAAAATCTGAATTTGACTGTAAGATTGCCATTGCCAGATCTCTGAAATATCTGCTTTTCCAACACATACAATTCTGCAGCTTGCTGAGTGACAGGGTTCATGATGAGGTAGCTCATGTAACGAGAAGGTCAAAACTAGACTGTAGCAGAAGAGTTTCACACTTAAGTGAGTTCCTTTGAGAGATACGTTTTCTGGATAGCACACCTCCCAGCTTCAGTGCTGACCAGTCCATGGGTGAGCGGACACTAGTGTGCCACTGAGCACTGTACCTCAGCCTGGGGTACAGCCTGAACTTTAGAGAAGTCCAAAGCGATAGAAAAAAAACACCACCATCAATCCTGTGGAAAAGCATTTACTTTTCTTTTACTGGGTGAATTGTCTGCCAGTGAGCTGGCTCACTGTAGAATCAGATAAGCACCAGTGCCAGCACAAGGGAAGGAGGAAGACCATATGGCCAGGATCTGGGAGATAGGAAGGTGGGAGCACAGCAACATCATTTTGTATATGCTTATACTTTTACAGCACTGCAACATCCTTGCGTGAGACCTGCATTCCTGAATCGGAGAAGCCTACAGGTTTATTCTCCCTGAGGCTTTCAGATAATAAATTGTGTACCTGGTTTACAAGAAATACATTCTATCTGCCAATTCTCTGTATTAAGTTTCACGCTTGAACTCCAAAACTTTAGCAATCATTTCTGATGTCAGCTATCTACACTTCCATGCTCTAGTCTGATACTCGGATGAGGCACTCAGAACTAACATTGGATCTTGAAAATACAAGCCTGAGATTGGAACAGGAGTCCTTGCATTTCATGTATCCTTACCAGTAATAAAGATGCACAGTTTAGATGCTCAGTGACATCAGTGTCTTCAAATGCACAGGCGTAGCCAACTATGTTTTAGTAAACAATTTTATCAAAGATGTACACAGAAAAACAGAATCTAGTTCCCCTTTTCTATGCTTTATTGTGTCTGCAGTGCAAACAGAGGTCCAAAGCAAAAATAAATTGTATTTGCCATTTTAGGGTCAGTACAAATAACTCTGAGTATACTTAGGAAGCAGATCTATGCTCTGACTAATGACCTCTCACAGAGAAGTGCACATTCATGGTCCTAAAGTTCAACACATTTAAAGTAATCATTCCCTTCTGGCTCTGAAAAGTGTTACTGTTGGCACACTTTCTTGCATGATTTGCTGAGTGGTAATGTACAGGGAAAAATGTATTAAAGAAATTTGTTTCCAAGACTACAGAACTGCAAAACCGAAGAATTTTTAAAAGCAAGATAGTTCCATTGATTCCTCTGAGTAGGAGTGAGTCCCTTTAACATTTTTTGCAGCCAAGAAGAAATGTGGATGTGTACCATATCACCAAAAATTCCACACAAGAAAAGACGTGGTATCTAGGTGGCACACTACTGCAGGTCACAGAAAGCAACAGCACTCCACTGAAGTCACAGTAAATCAAGCCATAAAAGACACTGGAGAGAAACATTTCAAACCGAGTCAGAAAATTATAAATCATCAAGCCAAATTCTCAGGTAACATGTACAAACTCAGAACATTAGGAAAAAGTCCTCTTACCCCGTATACCTTCTTGGCGCCTGCCTTTGCAGCAAACATAGAGAGGATTCCCGTGCCACTTCCAACATCGAGGACAATCTTATCTTTAAAAACATGTTTATTGTGATACATTGAGTTTCTATAGGTTAATGTGCGCACTTCATCTTTTAACATTTCCTGTGATTAAAAAAAAGCATTGTGTTATTATTTGAAGTTCTTACATGCATTCAACAGTGCTGCTGAATGCATTCCCTTATTATAATTTAAGCATTATTAATGCACAGCCCAAAGAGCTTTTCAAGTACTTTTTGGTACACATATCTAAGCAACTGTAAAATGCTGCCTACTTAGAACTGAACTATTAAGAAGCAGCATGATGTCCTTTGTACAATTTGATTTCACTAAATATTACTTCACTGTTAAATTGACAACCAGAATGTAATCTAACCACAGCACCGCTTTAGACATAGAGAGAAGCCATACAGAAAACCCAGCTTTCCTTTTCTCCTAAACCATGCACAGCCTAGAGCCTCAGCACAGGGACCTTCTGAGGTTCCCCTTTGAACACAAAAGAAATCATTCCATAAACCTTTATAAGACAGCAGTCTTAGTCTTGCCCACAGTGATACAGGAAGTCCATTGCATACCTTAGAGAAACTGTGCTGCATGGTACTCCCTTACCATTCTCTGCTCACTCATTTATATGACCAGTTTCCAGAAGATGTTAATGTGTAACTTAGACCTCTATCTCATTATTTAAAGTTGTCATTGTTAGGTGTTAATTTTTGCTTCATTGATAGCAGCAATACAAGCATTTTATTCCATTGACACCTTGCTCTCAAGTGTGCCATATATCAGTCAAACTATATCAAGAAAGAACACTGAGATTAAAATCCAAGTGCCATTTTTAGGGAAAGTGTAGGTCATTCAATACACACTTTAATTTTCCTAAAATGCTTCTGTTAAGTCTAGAAAGCTGAACTTTCACTTACAGTACTGCCATTATTTCATAGTTTAAGCGAATGAGTTTTTGAAATTCAGGATAAAAAGTATCAGTTCCCTGCCCACCAGTAGGAAGTACAGGTACACTGGATCATTACATGTATCAGTTGCTCACTTACCTGTCTTGGCAGGAGAATAAAAGGGCATTTTTGTCATCATAAAGCATGTCTTGGTATCAGGCAAAGAAAGAGGCAAAGGAACAGTCCACCAACACTGGAAAAGTGATGGAGCATACCCTCATGGAAATATTAAGGACAGGTAGGTGATTGAGAGTGTTCAATATTGATTTGACTGGCCATCTGACAGCTTTCTATGGTGTCATAACAGGCTCTGTGGATGAGGGAAAAGGAGTGGATGCTTGTTTATCTTGCCTTTAGCAAGACTTTCAACATTGTTTCCCATAACATCCTCTTTGAAAAACGGATGAAATGTAGGTTACATAAATGGACAGTGAAGTGGACTGAAAACCGATTGAACTGCTGCTCTCAAAATGTGATCAGCAGCACAAAGTCCACCTGGAGGCCAGTGACTAGTGCTGTTCCCCCAGGAGTCAATACTGGTGCCAGTATAGACGGATACCTTCAATAATAACCTGGATGATGGGACAGAGTGCAATCTCAGCAAGTTTGCAGTTGATAGAAAACTGGGAGGAGTGGCTCATTCACCACATGGTTGTGCTGCAAATCAGAGGGACCTCAACAACCTGAAGAAAGAACTGACAGGAATCTCAAGAAAGTCAACAAATCGAAATGCCAAGTCCTGCACGTGGGGAGGAATAACCTTATGTACTAGCATAGGCTGAGGACTGTCTGTCTGGAAAGCAGTGTTTGCCAAAAATTACCTTGGGAATTTGGTGGACAGCAGTTTGAACATGAGCCGACAATATGCCTTTGCACCATTTTCGGCTGCACTAAAAAAAGCATCACCAGCAGGTCAAGGGAGGGGGTTCAACACTGGTGAGACCACACCTAGGGTCCTGTGTCCAGTTCTGGGTTTCCTAGGACAAGAGATGTTGAGGCAGATCCAGTGAAGGCCCATGAAGATGATTAAGGGATTGGAGCATCCGATATGTGAGGTGAGATCGACAGAGCTAGGATTGTTCACCCTAGAGAAGGCTCAGGGGTGTATATCAATGCGCATAAATACTTGTTGAGTGGAGGAGGAAAGAAGGCAGACACATATGCTTCATATGGTAACCAATTAGAGAATAAGAGGCACAAATGACATGAACAGGTTTTTTAGAGCCTTTTCCAATCAGGTTTTAAATATGTCCAAGTACGGAGGCTCCATAGGCAGCACTTTACCAACCTCCCAGTAAAGAATATTTTTTTCCAGTTAAATTTGCTCCCATGACTTCAACCAGCTCCTTGAGCCCTGGTGGAGACAGCCCATCAGAACCCTGAGACTTATGTGTCCGATTTGTTTATGTGATCCTTCTCCGTCAAGGGCAACTCTTCCTCACTTCAGACTTTGCCACTCATCTTAGGGACCTGGGACTCCTGAAGGCAAGCCTTACCAGTAAAACCAGAACTGAAGAAGGCTCTCTGTCACACTGATTTTTCAGAAAAGATGTAAGACCTTCCCTCATAATGCTACCTCTGGGTACTTCCATTCTTGTGTGCTTACACTTGGGGTGGATCCCTTCTGCCCTCTTTATTGACTGACTGTGAGGTCTTGTCCACACCACCCTGCATCCTTCTCTTACCAATTCAGTCTACCACCTCCCCATGTATCTGGGGGTCATCATCTCTTTCCTCTATCATCGTTAGCTTAGAAGTCTCCTCACCAGGTGGTCCAACATGCTGGCAAAGAGGCTTTTGGCCTGGTTTGTCAGGTGGATTCTAGTACTTCCTAGCAGACCTCAATCCTCAGAGGTTCCTTCCAGTAGACATAAAAGCTGAAAACTTGTCATTGACACCAGCTGCACAATCAGTTGTGGTCCTGCAGGAGCACTTCTCAAGTCCTTATTTGCACTGTTAGAATTCAGGCAAAAAAACACCTGGCACAACCTGCTGTTGAACATCATTCTAAGAGCCGTGCAGTCACACTTGATATGCTCCAGGTCTCATTGGTGCTCGTGTGGAAGAGCAGCAGTAGTAATCCAAGGCTGGTCTAAGGGCTAGACAAATATCAGTAGCCCCTCCAAATGCCTAGACAGCAGGTCAGGTCAGCAGCAGATGGTGGTGTCTGACTCCTGAAGGAGAGAGTCTTCCCCTACTATCACCTGTTGCTTCCTTCAAGTGATTTGCATGGCTAAAGGCCAACTGGTTCTGATGTTTCCTGACAGAACTTCCTGCCCTTCATCTACAAGGAAGGCATTGAACCTATTCCATCACTCTAGAGATCTACAGGTGGATCAGGAGCCTTCCTCCTGTTGCCAAAATTCACAAGTTTCCAGCCTTCACCAGCAGAGAAGTCTCCACTTCCAAACCTGCTAAGTACAGACTGTGACCATCCCTCCTTTGTACAATTGAGGATTTAGGCTCTTGTACCTTCAAGATCTTGGATAGGATCCAGTCAGCCTCTTTCTCATGTCCCTGATGCTACAAAGTCTGCCAACCTCCTCTAGCAGTTCCTTTACTTGTTGACACAGATTGTCTATCATTGAACACCTCTTGCAGGCAAGGAGGCAACCTCCCACTTCCCAGCCTCAGCAAGAGGCCTCAGGTACTCCCTGAGACCTACAGAGCTGCCACCTTCCATCAGGAGCTCAATCTCATTTGAGGTCTTTGATGTGTCTTCAATATTTGTCTCCTTCCCACTCAATTGTTCCTCTATCTTTTTCCACTCTTGGACTGAATTTCTGAATGCCACACCGGCAAGCTGTAATTGGCAGACAGAAATCTTCTATTTATGTATACGGACGACAAACAACAGAGTAATGTAAATAGATATTGTTTGTTATGTGGTTTGTGAGAAGTGCCACTGATTTCACAGTTGGCCTTTTTGCATCCTACTCTTTAAGATCCCATCCTCTTGGGTCATGTAAATATAAGATATTAGTGTCTTCTTTAGAATCGGTCTACAGTCAACTTTTTGATGGCAAGTATGGTGCATTGTATATTTTGAATTCTTTTCAGGAGTATATTTACTGGAGGCTACTGAGCTATATGTTCCCATTAACACAGCATCGGCATTCAAGTAACATGCCAGGAGCCAAGAAATTACTTGACTTCTCAGGTCAGTTTAATACCTTTTCTGCTGGCATCTGTGTTCAAATATGCAATAGAACTAAAGATTTAAGTTAGGAATAAGGTAGTTTCTGTGTGTGATTGGGTTAGTTTGCAGTCCTCAAATGCACTAAATTGATGCATTCATGAAGATTATCACTGTACAGACAGCTCAAATAAGCTCTGGGGAGAACTCACATGCGTAAGGATCTAAATGGGACAGGGGTTTTGAGTACAGGTCTCTAGAGAAGTGGGTCTTATTTTTGGCACTTAACCAGATTATACTATCTTCTGAGGAAAGGCAAAGGAGCAAGTGGAAGTGGGATAATTAATTAATTAATCAAATGAAACATCATTATTATTGTTATTGTTATTATTGCTATTATGTTGTTGAAGTAATAATTGCAGCAATAAAAGTAAGTATTACCTCATGAATTCCAAAGTGAGCATAAGAATCAAAGTAATAATCCCTGGATGTCATCTCTTCTGGATTGATGAGCTTTGCCATCTTGCCTCGGCCTGGGCAGCTTGGTTGCAATGGGACATGTATGACAGATTGAACTGGTTTTGGAACAACAATAGGCTGAGGAGGCTGGGATGGGATGGGGCAAACCTAGGAGAACATGGAATATTGTTAAGAGGCATCATTAAAAGAAAACATGTCTATTTCTAGCAGAGTGATATTATTGTAACTAGCTAACAAATAGTAAGACCAAAGACACCTGGGGTATCATAAGTGAAATTTAGGCTGCCTTCTGTTCCTGGCTTTTTAACTTACTTGCTTTGTCTTGGAAAATTTCCTTAATGGCTTTTTCCTTGATGTTCCTCTGCAGGCCAGTGCAAAGTAATGGCAAATTATTGGTGTTGGCTGAAGTGAGTGGCTCCAAACACAAGTCAATTAAGAGCTAGGTTTTCTCTTTTAGTGTCTTTCTGCCAAACTGCCACCGTTTTGTGAAAGGTAAGTTGTGATAAATAGTTCCCCTGCAAAGAAGAGCTCGTAATCAAAGGCTTTTGAATACAGTGTTGCCAAGAAGGACAGGATTCACAATAGTTTCTTAATTGTTTCTTAATTGTCAGGTAATGTAGCTGGCTGCATTGATGAGGTAGGTCTGAGAATGTTCACAGTATCTGAAACTCCCTGACACTATCTGACAGTCACTCAGCATGTCCAGAACACACTGTAGGATGCTGTGTGTGGCATATGTGATCCTTCAGTTTCCTGTTGATGGGAGAGGCAAGAGTTACGTGTTACCAACACCCTGGCCCACTGCACTTCTTCTTCCTTTCATATTGCATCTCCAACACCAAAATTTCAACAGAGCCAGAATGCTTACACCCCCTTGACTCAGATTTGACACCTGTAGCATCTAAGACAGAAGATAGAATGTTTCACAAACATGAGACACAGATCACAATCTGGCCCATAAGTACATCTACATCTTTCACCCTTAACATGAAGCAGGATGATGAAAACTGAAAGAAAGACTGAACAAGACGCTACAGCTTCCCACGTACAGAAATTTACCTGAAAATTATGGGTCAACAACTTCATATATTAAGAAGGTTAATCCTACTTAAAATATGTTCCCTCTTGTACTTTTTTTTTCCCCCCCCACTGTTAGTAGTTTCCCAGTGGGGACCAGATTTGCCTGACCCTCTCCTAGATACTTTCACGAAGTTCACTCTACCTTCTATAGCTGGATATTGCGAGACATCAATCCCTTCTTGTACTCTCTGAATAGCATCATTTAGCCTAGTTCAGTTCACTTCAATAAAACAAAACAAAACAAAACAAACACCCAACACATTGTTTCCCATCTTCATTTGAAGATTTAAATGTGTCATCTTTGGCTGGTTTCTTTGGTCCATCTGTGAAAAACGAATACTAGTGGTTTATATATTCTGTAACACCTTTAATCCCCAAAGATCCAGAAGTGCTTTATTTGTATGTCTTTTATATTTCTGATGGTTTTGACTTTTATCCCCTCAGCCACTTCATCTCCCACCCAGAATATAATTGTTCCCAACTGGTATTTGTATTTCCGTCCTGTCCAGTTTTAAAAAGTCCGTCCGCATTCAGTTATCTTAATAAACTATTTCATTGTCTGTTCATTGCAAGCACCACCTTGACGGCTCATTTCGTCAAGGTGTTGCTTGTAATACTCAGCATTAAAATTTAATCCTGATACTTTTAGTTATGTACTTGAGGTTACATCCTAACATTTCTCTCCACTGGTGAACACATTATCAAATTTTTGCAGTTACCTTGCCCTGTAGCCCTTTCTGTGTTTGTCTGCTGGATTACAAAGACTAAAATTGTGGATGTATGGAAGTTTGTTTTAATTTAAAATGAACTATGTAAGGTCTTCCGCTTTTCTCCTAAATCTTGTCCTCCACATCATTTTACCAGCAAAATACAACATATTAATTATGTATAACACTCACTGAACTCTTTATTCTGATCCTGTCTTAGCTAAGAAGGTCTCCAGAAACAACATAGTACAATCACAGACAATTGCTCAGAAGTTACCTTCTGGAGAGGAGATCTTTCGTTTTTTGTCAATGAAACCAAAGGGGTATTAGCATTCCTATTGCTGTCAAACTAGAAATTCAGATATGGTTTGCTGTACAATAAGAATTATTTTTTACAGGAAAAGAGACTGGTCTTGAAGGCGAATCTTCTGAGTGTCAGGCAACATTGGTTCTACTTCTGGCTGCATGGAATTTGTGTAGGCAGGGCTGTTAGAACAATGCTTATTCTGATTAAAGGTACAGGATAAAACTAAATTCAGCAACTCAGTCCAGGAAAGTTGACCGAATGATTTTGTTTGGTGTAAACATTGTTCTGTCATAGTCTGCAAGACAGCTGAATTCTGATACAGCCAAGGAGTGGTAAGATAACTTTTATTAAGCTACTGACCCTTGTGAATGTATTAGACATGGGACTCACAATACTTTTCAGGTTTACCTGAAGTACTTGAAGACTTAGTGCTCTCAACTGTCCACCTACATCTCTGCCAGAGACTACATATCTTACAAAGAGGAAGAAGTAGGAGGTCTGCTTCTCAGCTGCCTTAGTTTGTAGCCAAGCAGCCCGTGGTAAAATGTGTTGATGGTGTTTGTATGACAAAGTTAGGTGGTGAATACCACCGTGTGTTCACACTGCTGATCCTGTGCTATGGGTATCATGGTCTCATGCAAAAGGGGTAACAGAAAACCAGGCAGGGGCCGTGATCTTCTCAGCCCGCAGCACTCTGCCACGGGGACCTTAAATCAGCTGTTTCATTTCTGGTTTAGGCATAGTAGCTCAATACTAGCCTTTCAAATTAAAATTATGTATTTATTTGCAACATCTGTAATACTCACTGCTATAATTTCTCTTTGCAGCACTGTAATTCTGAAACTCCAAGGCAAGGCCACAATTGCAAGAATAATTTGTGAGTGGGGCTCAGGAAATCCCTCTGTCATAGATTTGCTATAGACACTGTGAACAATCCTAGCCAAGAGTAACTCATGTCCTGGGACAACAAATACCTAGAACATATAAATACAGTGGATGATTGTGAAATAAAGAAATGTAATGAAAGCTATTATTTGTATCAGAAACAATACTCTTCACAGAGTCTCCCAGCTCTGTGCTTGCTAAACTAGAAATAACTAAGCTTTTAGGGATATGGTTTAACTGCTTTAGGAGAAAACATGCCTCAAAGAGAAAAGCTATCAAGGATAGACAGCTTCCTGTATTCTTTCCAGAACCAAAAAGAATCCTTGATATGATTTACAGGCTCAGCACATATATACACCCTACCTGTCAGAAACAACTTACCCTTTCAATAACACCTGAAAGGGGAAAGCATCTGGGCTGGGGCTAAACCTCACACCATTGAAAAGAATCTAACAAATCATATCTGAATAAACCATGTTTATTGCAAATCCAGATTCCAGCCAGCTTAATACAGTTCCAGAACACTGGACCCTGCTAATAGAGATGAAGTTTGAAAGAATGCAAGCAGCTGCCTCAGAATCCATTCATCACTGTGCTAGACAGGCAGCCCTCTATTTTTCCGTCTCCCATCTGCTACCGAATATAGACTTGGATGGCCTGAAGGATCTGAGAAACAATCTTTTTCTACCATTGGTAGGGGATTTAGGTCCTGTTGCTCTGTAATATTTCAAAACTTAAAGGAAATTAGGGAAATATTTTCCTACTTTTAAATAAAGTTTCTTTCCTCTTTCTTTGCAGACAAGGTTGGTAGATTAGAGATGCAACAAAGGTATTAGCACAAGACTGTTTTTTTAAAAAGCTTTGAATACATACCAAAGGCAAAATTCATAACCCTCATTCATTTCTCAAAATCTCACATGTGAACATCTTGGCATCGGTTTCTAAAACACATATAGGCACTTCAGTGACAGATGTGACTTTCAGACTCTGTGGAGTTGCCCATGTGCGTTAATGGAAACTGCTGAAATTCTTCTTTCCTGAAAACCAGATGCAACTCAACATGGCTTTATGAGGCTATCTGAATGTACAATTCTCATAACACAAAAGAGAACTCTGTATTAAAAAATCATAGCCTATTTTGAAAATTGTTTGCTTTAGAATAAAGCTTCTGTCAAGGACAGCTTAGACTGAGCAGTCATACAGGAACTTGACTGTACACTAAGTGTCCAAATCCTCAAAAAGTCAAGGATGCAGGCAAGTCTTCAGTATGATAAAGGCGTGGTTGGCATACTTAGGCTACAGCAGAAATAACACCAAGCAGCAAGAAGGAATGCAAATATCACAAAGGTTAGCACATCTGTTACTTGTTGCTTTAAAGTTAAAAAGGAATTTAGAAATCCAAATCTAAATACATGATAGGAACTGTGATACCTTTGTGGATCAGTATATACTGTCAAGATTTTTAATGGGGACTATCTACGGGAGAAAAGCCAGAATCTTCTTAGTGACAGGTCACTAATTAAGCAAACAGATTTCCAGTTGGGTATTAGAGAATAATTCTTTCACCTAATAGATGTTAAGCGCTGAAACAAATGCTTAGAGGATCTATGGGGTCTCCAACATGATAGGCTGCAAAACTCAGCTGGAGAAGGTCCTTAGCAGTCTGACCTAGCATAGAAGTTTTCTTTTATCTGAGCACGATGCTGGACTAGATGACCTCCAGAGGTCCCTTCCACCCATATTATTCTATGAAAGTAAGACATGGACAGTAATATCTGTACTGTGCAGGAGATACAGGTGGCAATGGCAAGATATCCTTATAAACCTAGTGTAGCTTATGGGGTGGGTTATAAATCTGGGTTTATAGAGTTGTGCACATAAACAGAACAGAACCTGTTTTCATGAGATTAAAGAATGGACACTATGAGAAGAACACAAGGACATGACAATCTGGAATGAAAGCTTTTGAAGCTACATGTAAAAGAATTGGACTGAAATGATAGGTAATGAAATGACGGAATGTAAGGGTGGGAGTGGTGTTGAGTATCTGAAGCATTTATAAAAGTCTGAGCCAAAGTTTAAAAAGTTAGGTTCTAGACCATTCTCTGTACTAGTGGAGGTAATAAAAATGCTCTTCATCCAACATTACTTTTCCTTCCTTCCATTC